CCCGTTTGGCCCCGGCTCCGGGCGGTCCCGGCGGAATGTGAGGCCTAGCAGTCCCGTAGCCGTGGTCCTCGTAGCCACCGGGACGGCCTCAGGGACGGGAGGGCCTTTGTCTGAAGGGAACGACTTCTTTAGGCAAAGGGGGTGGTCTGGGACCTCGCAGGGGACAAGGCGGGACCCTTGGAACTCATGAGGGTACGCCCCTCCGGGTGACTGCGCAGACCCCCACTCCTGCTGGCAGTTTTGGAATGCCCTAGAGTAGCTCGGCTAAGAGAACCCCCCGGTTTTGCCTAGGGGGTGGCTCAGGGAGGGAAAGGCCTTCCCTAAGGAAGGCGGCCCGGTTGGCGGAGGGAGGAGGCTTGGCCCTAAAAGGAGTGAGGGTAGGACCACCCGTACTAACGAGGGGATCTCTCCTCAAAACACGGAGCCGCGGGCGCGCCTGCATGCCTCAGTTGGGTGAGCGGCTGACGCTTGATTTCTGTTCAGGTCACGATCTCATGGCTGGTGAGTTCGAGCCCCGCATCCGGCTCCGCAGCTGACAGCGCGGAGCCCGCTGGGGATTCTCTCCCTCCCTCTCTTTCTGCCCCTCCCCAGCTCCCACGCTCTGTTTCTCTGGCTCCAAAATAAATATTTTTTAAAAAAATAGGGAGGGGCGCCTGGGTGGCGCAGTCGGTTAAGCATCCGACTTCAGCCAGGTCACGATCTCGCGGTCCGTGAGTTCGAGCCCCGCGTCAGGCTCTGGGCTGATGGCTCAGAGCCTGGAGCCTGTTTCTGATTCTGTGTCTCCCTCTCTCTCTGCCCCTCCCCCGTTCATGCTCTGTCTCTCTCTGTCCCAAAAATAAAATAAACGTTAAAAAAAAAAATTTAAAAAAAAAAAAAAAAAAAGGGAAATGCACAGAACTGCACCCCCACTCTCAGATATGGAAGTGTCCAGATAAGGCACCCAGATGTGCAGCACACTAACTTTTCTTCTAGCTACTCATGGACGTGAGGCCTTTGCTTTGAGGCTTGTAGACTCACATAGAGGGAGGAATCCCAAAAGACTCCCATCTTTTACTGGTATATTTATTGTTTTTGTTGTTATTGTTAGTGCCCTTGTGATGTCATTTGTACTTTTTAAATGTTTGCTTCCTGGTGAGCCGGTTACACAAAGGCACAGTCTCCTCTGAAGCATGTCTCGGGCCTGAGCCGTAGTTTAAGGGTTGGCTGCCCAGTTTAGCAGAGGAAGAGGAGTCCCATGTCATGCCATATGTCAGGGTACCAATCCTGTAGAAATGAGACAACTACCCCAGAACAGAGGAGGCCACAGAAATTCCACCTGTGCAGTCAGCCTCAGGAAGCCAGGAAGCCAGCCTCTCTGGCTGAAGTACCCCCTCATTTCCTTTAAGGAAACGTTTGGTCTAATTGGAGAGGCCCCATTCAGCAAAGGAAGGAGACCTGGTTCCTAATAGGAGTCGAGGTAGTGACACTGATTACAGATGAGCGGACCGTTCCCAGAAAAAGGTGAACCACTTAGAGCCTTCTCAGAACTAGGAGACTCAGACATAGTGACATGATAAGTGTCACTCACTTCTTCCAGGGAATCTCAGGAAAGTGAGGAATCTTATTGGTGGGGGAAGCATCAAGTCAGCGTATAGAAGATTTTCAGGTACTGCCAGGACCCAAGGAAAAGACCTAAGAATTGAGGGGACCACCTACACCACAGCATTGAGGGCAACAGAATCCCTTCCTGTCATCCTTGGAAGTCCACACACAGTTGTAGCTAGATCAGGAAACTTTACTTCTGTCTAGGGGGTCTCAGGGAGGCAGGGGCCTTAGAATGATGGGATAGTCCTTAAGCCAAGACACAAAAGATTTCCAGGTCCTTCCTGAGGTGAGGATGAAGGCACTGATGCATGACTGAGATGAGCACCCACCCAAAGCTCTGGGGCCCACGAAGTTCTGCTCCCTCCAGCCCTGGGAAACCTCAGGTAGAGGTAGCCAGATGCGTCAGCCCTCACTTCCACATCATAAGCCTCAGGGAGATAAGGGCCTTGGTCCAAACCTAGAAGACCCAGGTGGGCTGAGGGAGGAACCTAGATCCTGTGTCCAAATTAGGACTAAAGAGGTAAGTGATGTCAGAAGGGCGAAGTCCGTGGAATCTAACCCCTGCTACCAATCCAGGGAGTCCATGGATAGGGTGACTGGAAGTGGCTCACTGTTTCTTTCATCCTGGGGTTTTCAGGATGGCGAGAATCTTAATACCACCTGAGGGAGCTCAGGTCAACAAAGGGAGGGCCTCGGGGCGCCTGGAGCCTGTTTCTGATTCTGTGTCTCCCTCTCTCTCT